AAGCATCTAAACAAAAAAAATTATAAGAAAATAGAAACAGCAGCATAAAATTATAAAAATCTTGGAAAGCGAGAAGAGCACAGGATGCCAGAACTGGAGACGCAAGTAACATTCCCAAATACTTACAAAAATATACTGCTCATTTGTGATGACACTTATAAAACGACGATAAAAGCAGTAAACATATACAGCTTAAAAACCAACGAATATTTCAAGCAAAAAAAGCATATAGTTAAGATCTATTTGACAAGTTATGTTTTTCAGTCATCAATTTATCTTTCAAAAAAAAGAGTAAATTTTTGAGGAAACTTTTATTCAGCTGAGACGTTCGCTACTAATCAAACAGAGAACGCTTTAGGTAAGCAGATCAATCAAAAAAAAAAAAACAAAGGAATTAATCAAAAAACAATAAAAGTACCTGACAGAATAAGAGTAAATCAAAGAAATACTAGAATATTCCTCATAAGAAAGCAAACAAATTAAAAAATTTCAAGAAAAAAACTAGCAGAAAAATTGAGCTATTTTCAAAAGCATGTTCATTTTTCACCTTTCGAGGGGAAAACGAACAGCGCAGTACGAAAACGAACACATTGCACAACAGTACTTTTGAAAATTTGGCGGTAGCAGTAGATAAGTTGAATAAATACATTGACAATGATAAGTTTAAGAGTGATGCTGGCAAATGATGCTATTAATAGATGCAAACAAGAATTTTGCCATATGCAAATAAACGTTTTGAGGCTCACAGCTTTTTACACGCAGATTTGTAACTGCTTGAGAGAACTAAATGTTTTATTTTGCTGAAGACAATTGTAAGTTACAGTACATAAAAGTTTATAGTTCAAATCATCAATATAAAAAAAAAAGACAAGTGTTACAGTATGAGGCGTTCTGATGCATCGGCTTTAAATGATACACTGGAACAAAAGTTAAATATGCGCTTAAGGCTAAATAATTCAAAAAAAAATGTGTTTCGAACACTACAATTTTACAACATTCTTATAGAGAAGGTTTTTATAATGAACTGCTTTATCTTGAGCAATCCTACAAACCAGCGCTACCTACTGCAGAGGCTAAGGTAACGAAAGTGCCGTCACAAAATAAGGACAAAAAATCTGTGTACTCCGGATTAACAGATATCGACAATAACCGTATCTAGCGCTGCTGTTTCTCAGTTTATTGTAAACGAGAAGCTCCGAAATAGCTAAATGCACTTTTTTTCTCATTTTAAGATTTCTATTATGCAAGATAACTTTCGCTTTCTAAACTTTGCTTGCCGATACTTTTTTGATATTTTTACCACACATAAAATTTATTGCGTTCCTTTTACAGCTAAATTTTATAGATACTGTGTATATTATGTTTACAGCCAACGAATACAACTGCGACGTGCTTATAAAATAATGTGATACATTAAACATAGTCATATTCACCATTTTTGTTATTATTACTCTAATTACGTATACTCGAAATAAAAGTTTAATCTATCCTATAACATCAACTAATAGTTGTCTCTCAATGAGGGTGCTGGTTTTGAATACTAAGCCTTCGTTAAACAGCAGCGGAAGCCTTCTGATAAAGGCGTTCTGCCAGCTCCGAAACTAATTTTGCTTCTGCACACATTTTTGAATTTTTTTATCACCATTACTTCGTAGTCTTCTTTTCTAAGAGCACGTTAAGTACAAAAATTGCGTTTTGTTACCATAAAATCTGCAGCTTTTTGCGCTATCAATCTGCCATGAAATCGATCGTCAATGGAAAGATTTCGTTGTAAATTTATTTTGAACCCAGTGTTGTTCTTTGAAATCGGCCCATTAGCTATGGCTTTCTGATTTGCGCTTGGTAAATACGTATGTAATAACTGACTTCTAAACACGCGTTTCTTCATAACAATTTTTCTTAAATATATAATCCAAAAGCTGTTTGCTAAACAGTTAGAGCGCAGCTTGCAAACATATATAATGTGACAGCACGGCTTTAATCTTGTCATATTCAGTGCTACAAATGTGCACAACGTTTTCCAAATTTCTCGCTTAGAACTCATGATTATGAAATGTTTTGCTTTTATAGTGTAATAATAATTCCTTATGTAACTTCCTTAATGAAGTCACTAATTTTGTGCTCAAACAGCATTTTTCTAGTCTGCTCAAGTACGTTAAACCGAATCGGTCAGTTCTTGAACCCTAGCGATGTAATATAGGATTCATCTGTACGCATCTAAGAAAATGAATGTTTAAATGCTGGCTGTTCCGAAACAAAAAAAGTAATAGAATAGCGCATGTACCTGTAGTAAGGTAAAACTAGACTATGCGCACAATAAGTAGCAAACCAAGAAGTGCAACAATATTTTAAGTTCTCCTACTCTTTTTTAAACAAATTAAAACACTTTTTCTACAAGCTTTCGCTTCTGCTAAACTCTTTTTATGCTTTTCGCAGAAGACTTAGCCAATACATCTTTCTTATAATAGCTTTTTGCTTCTCAAACTAAGTAAAAGGTGACAGATAAGTAGAAATGACAGTCGACCAGAGTGTATACACTTCTACATAGTTTAACTTTTTAACAAAGTTTTTTGTAAAAGTATCAGGAAACTGCAAAAATTTTTAATACGAATTGAATCTTCTCGACTCTTCTTCTTTTCCCCACTTATCACTCTTCTCGTATTTTTTTTTCTTTTTTTTTTGTTTTTTCTTGGTAAAGTTGATTTGAAAGCCCAAAGTCTTGGTTTTCTTTTCCTCAATAATTAAGGTTTTTAAGAATTCCGAAAAACATTAGATTTGAAGTCTTATCTGTAAGTTTAATGGCAGGATTGCTGCAAAGGTGCAACATCACTGCTGGCCCATGAAGCTTTATTGAAAGAAGAAAACTATCCTCTTTCAAGGCTTGACTACAAAGTAGTTTTATTTGAAGACCTTGCTGTAAATAGAGATGTCTTTTTATATTTAAAAGTAATCAAATTCAGCCAATAATTTCTAAAAACTCTAAAAATGATAACGGCTATTTAACATACAAGAAAAAAGTTCTTTCAAAACACGTAATTGTCAGCAGATATGAAGCGTAAACATTTGACTGTATTTTTGACGTTCATCGCGAAAAAAGAATAAGTCAGCTGATAATAACATTATATGTCAAGAGTTGCAGCCCTTTGGTAAAAGTGAACAAATCAGTTCGTTTACTCGATGTCCAATTCAAAAAGAGCTACTGTTTGCATGCAGCACTGTAAGCACGAAACCAGACTGAGGTTTCAGATAGTGCACTTCATTTAAAAAACCTTTTAAAAACTAAAAAGCACACTGACAATGTGAGAAGTTTTCCAAAATCTATACGTTCTGAAAGAGAGCTGAAGCAGGCTGAAAGTTAAAATCTGAGAACAGAGATGATGAAGCCAGCTCTGCTTGAACGACTTGTTTCACACAGGCTGTGCAAAATAGCTATTTTGAAGTAAGATCCCTTTCTTATGTGGTTCTTCAATTTAGCGCCAGAGTAGTTCGCTGGTATTTTTGCAGACAAGGTTAGCAGACACAGCCCATCAAGTGTTTGTAATCTTACGGCAGGTCTCAAACGCCGCTTTAGGCTGTTCGCTTATCTGACACGACAGTATTCCCCAAAAGGACATACTGACAGAGATGAGGTACAAGGGTTACGCCAACCCTATGTTTAACCGCAACAATAAAGCACTAATTTGTTGCCCGTCTTGATAACTTTGAAACACCACTAGTACAAAACAAGCCTTGGTTAATTACTTTTTCATTAAAGCCAAAACCATCTTGCCAATGTCGACGACTTTACCTGCCTCGCCTAACCTAAGAGAATTGAAACAGGAGGCGCATGCAACTTGGAGAGTTTTAAAGTAAGAAGCAATATTGCCGCAGCTTACCGCATCGCCAGTTTCTTGATGAGCTTCCAATGCAGTTCGGTCGCTCACTGGTGCGCGAGCACTCGTCCATCAGCAAGATAAATAAAAAACTTTGTCATGTTTCAAGTTTGTCTTTTCAAGAAACGTCCTAACATAAAACCTCGCCTCTTTTCTTCAAATTCTCTTTTCACATCTTACATGCTTTCCCAAGCACTACTGCTTTGATTACAATTTGCAGTGAGAATCATTCTACTGTCACAAAGATAAATACACTAGACAAAAAGCAAGCGATACAGTTGACGTTATGCTTTAAACCGTTTATCAAAAAAACCAGTTTTTGAAGAAGACTCAAAGAATCACCACTTTTAATCAAAGGAAGCGCATACCACGTATTGAGTAAATGATCAAAGACAATAAATTACGTCAAAAGTAACAGAGAATACATATAGCCTGAAAAACGTAAGCAAATGGTGAAATTATTACCAGCGAGAAACTCCCACCACTTTTAGGTACTAAAACGCAAGAGTTCAGTGCGTAACAACGTGCGTCACTTGATAATGTGCTAGTATAACATTTTCAGTTGCATACAAACAATTTTTGGGCAGTTAGACAAAGAAAACGGAAAAGGCAAATAGCATTAGCTCTGCTTACTTCATTTTCTACTTCCCTCCCTCTCCGCATCTCCCTAACCTGTTTCGTAATTGCGTTATAAAGAGAAAATTTTATTATTTTCTCTTAAATTTTCTAATTTTCTTCAAAATCCAAAAAGAAATTTGCCAAGCCTTGTTATTCCTTGCGGCTCCTACATCTTCGTATTCGTATGTTTCTAGTCCTCGATGTGCATAAGAGAAGTGGGAGCGTGCATTTTCACAATTATCAGTGGGTCACACATACTGTATATGGTATCCCTTTACTGCGACAAAAAGCAGGCTTTTTAATGACAATATCTTCTAAGGCCATACAGCATAATGAAACTACCGCCTTAAATAGAAGCTTGAAACTTTATAAACCACGGAAAAAATTTTAGACGCGCGATCACGGTAGTTTTGATTCTAATTTCAACTTTTAACTCATTTGTACAGGAAGTCATCAAAAACCTTCTAACCGGTTTTGAAGTACCCAGTCACCAACAACCAACAGAAAATAATGCCGGTCTTAACACTGTTTCTGACCTTAGCTATTCTCCGTTTTGGAACTCCTCAAGCTTCCCAAGGTAAAACATCTTTCTGTGGCGCTGTTTATCGTCATTTCTCTAACCTACACGATTCAAACGACCCCATTCTTGTTTTTATTTAGGTTGTAAAGATGACGCATCCGACTGTCTACCTACTGTCTGTGCCGCATTCTCTAGCAGATGCAAACTCACCTGCGGCCTTTGTGGAGTGACCACACCTCCGGCAACAGCAACCCAGACAACATGCGCAGACTTGGCGAATGACTGTTCACCAGCTTTGTGTGCAACGCAGTCTGCAAGATGTCCGCTAACTTGCGGTCTCTGCGGAACAAACCAGAGGACGTGTGTGGATCACGCGACTGATTGCACAACCGCTTTGTGCGCAACAATGAGTAAAAGATGTCCACTCACTTGCGGCCAATGCGGAACGACTGCTGCTCAACGGGTGGTGTTGGTAAATAAGGGCACATGTAAAGACATGGCAAACAATTGTTCGCCTAGTTTGTGTACTAGGTTTGGTCAAAGGTGTCCTGCCACTTGTGGACTTTGCTGAGTAGTTTCTAGTTGTTTCCGGTATGCTCCTGAATGTGATTACTGTATAATTCTTTGTTTTTTTTATGTGTCCGAACTCGTTGTGCATGTTTTTGAAATTGTGATAAGAAAGAGCAAAAAAAGTATTGCTTTGGCCTTCTCTTCTATTTTATTTCTAAAAGGGCTTGTAATAATTTTCTGCTTTTCTGTGTTTACTGTGGTAAAGCAGAAACGAGGAATCTTCTACTGCTTTCTGGAGTAATGCTGTTTGTTATCAGATTTTCGTGAATATCTTGATTTTGTCGGAAATCACATTCTATTGCGTTTCTGTGCAAGGCCTATGCAGAATAAAAGCTGTATTCATTAACAATCCTCTGCAAAAAAAGACAGTGGTAAATGCATCTCACTTCCACGCTCTAAACCGAGAAGTTCTATGAAAAACAATAGAACAGTCAATTCTGCTTCTTGTGGTTTTTTGTTCTGAAATCTTTTTCTTACAGATACAGGCTTCGGTCACAGTTAAGGCAGCAATTTTGATTTGAAGATTTAATAATTTTTTGAACTGATACATAACGGAAAAGACCTTCACTTCTGTTGCACTGAACTGGTGATAGTGTCATTACATATATTCAGTTGTAATAAAAAAATAAATGTTTTCTAAAAACTAAAGCTTCTAATAAAATATATAGTAAAATTTCTGGATTTTCTCTGAATAACCTTTCACGCTTACTGTGTCACTACGTTGGTAATAATTACAGCGAAACTCATTTTAGAAGGAGTTCAAATATTATTAACGGCAGTTGAAAAAACTCAAGAAAAATTAAAATAAGTTGAGAAACGCAATGAAGAACATCAAAGTGACGTGCGCCAATACGCATCTGGCTTATAAAAATCAGTTTTTTAGGAAGTTTTTTAATAATCTGTGAAACCTCCAACTTTCTGAAAAATTTTCCTGAAAAGATAAAATCAATAAATCTTCAGTGAAATTGTTAACTGAACACATACAAAAAGCGGCAGCCGCAAGGAAATTTGGCACAGAACAGTTGCTACTGGATACACTTGACACATTAACAATTATTTTAGATAATGTCGAAATTTGAAGTTAGCAATTTCTTAGCTATGTGTCACGATGCAACTGGCATCAGTAGACTGCACAATCTTCATTTTATGCGCAACTGGCGCTTCTGTAAGCAACAGTGCTCATAGCAATGCTCATCATGGCAAAAAAACCGACCGCGCTCCATGGAATGAATGTCTATTCAAAAACTCAAATTGCGATAAATGAAACACGATTGTCGAAATTTGTGACACAGCAACTAGACCTTGACGTACCGATTTACCTGTGGTCAGACTCGCAGTGCACATTTTCGTGGGTGTGAGCAAATAGAGAAGTGTCACGGTCTGTATCTGATCAAATCAAGAAAATCAGAGAGAATGCTTCTGCATTGCATTACGTTTCAACTGCCAAAAACCCTGCGGACATGTCTATCCGAGGAACTACATCTGGTACTCTGGAAAAACAACAGCACGAATAACGCAACTGTTATAAAATAAGCGGAGGCGACGAAAAGTGACAAAGGAACATGAACCAGCTTTAAAAAATTCAAATCTTGAAACAGACTCTTTCGTGCGTTTGCATGGAGCTCCATAGGTGCAAAAGTCATCTATTATTATTGCGACTAAAATTACTTTTTGATTTGCAAAATCTCTTTTGCAATATTTTAAACGCGTAGAATTCTCACTTGCTGATATTTTACTGAAGAGAGATATTCCTTAAACCGGATATAGTAGAAAACTTATAATGAAGCAAAAGACAATAGCTAATAGAAAGACACTTCATTACACGATATGATTGGCACAGAAAAAGGGAAAAGAAGAGACCAAAAAATAACTGACGAGGTAACACAAAACCCAAAATTAACAGGAATTGCCTACCTTCAGCGTTCAGAAGACTTGATAGAAAGTTACAGAAATGCAGAAATACAGGCTCTCAGAAATTGAGAAAAACCTAACCTTACCGATTGATCAAATCTTTCAACAGTGCTTTGCCGAACCTCCTTTAGCATGCTTTGCACTTTCTTATACGCAGGTTCTTTGGCGTCTGCATTTAATTAGCATTGGTCGAACTCGTAGAGTTTTGCCGAATCCACTCTTTTTGGAGATTGATCAAACCTCACCTGAGTGGCCGGTGCCAGCATATTGTAGAATCCGAACATTTCGTTTTAAGCTGCGCCTGTCTGACAGATGCAGCTCCTACGCCTTATTTCCCATAAAAGGAACTGTTACATGTGTACAACACAACTGTCGCACGTTTGCAACAATTATCCCGACTTAAAACACTGTTGCTTTATCTTCCCAAAAATAAAGTTTTACAAATTACACAACGAGAATTTCACAAGAAAATACGACATAACGCTTAAGAACCAAATTCGTATAAATTTTACCGCTGCAGTGGAAGAATATAGAAATCGTTTCTACACCCAAATGCAATCCGCCTGATCTTTTTACCCAAAAACAGTCCCATAACTGAGCTAATTATGCTCGACACTCACCCAGCTATGGAACATTGTGAAACTCCCCAAACGCTAGCTGCCATACGCCAAAAGTACTGAATTCCCAAAGGCAAAATGAAGGTTAAAACAACCATCAGTTTATGTTGCATGAGCTGTCGCAGATAAAAGGCCAAGCCACTTAAACTTCCACAAATGCCTGCATTACGCCGGACAATCAATAGCGTTACGACCGTTTCAAAATGTCGTAATTGACTGCGGCGGTCCTTTCAATGTTCGAACAAAAGATGGACATCAGAAGGTCTGAATCTGTTGTTTTACTTGTCTAACTATCAGAGCACTCCATCTCAAAGCGGCGCATAAGAGTTTAGCTGATACGTTCATAAATACTCTAAGAAGGTTTTGTGATAGAACGGGATGCCCAGAAAAAAATGATCTCCAACGACTCTCCAACGACTCTACGTTTAAGGAAGCTGCAGACGTTCTCGGTATGATACGCGCAGAAAAGGAAATTGAATGGAAGTGGGCAACAACTTTAACACCTTGACAGGAAGAAATATACGAATGCCTAATCCAGAGCATAAAAATCGTTCTAAAGAAAGCTATTAGAAAGAAATGAATTAAAGATGAAACTTTCCAAACGCTTGTGACCGAAACTGAAACAATTTCGAACAATTGTTCGTTAATTTATGTGAGCAAGAACAGTTCAGACGTGTTCTTAATGAGGTCCTTGGTTGCAGCATTTGAATGTCGTTCAAAGTGAGCGTTCCTAACTGCCGTGGAGATGAGGGAGCTGTTTTTAACTCTAAATATGATTCTCTGGAATCAAAAAATGACAAGGTGTTAGGTGTCAATGGCTGGTTACTGTTGTTTGTCTAGAGGCATTATTTGAAATTTTGATTCTGTTTACGGAGGCCAGTATTCGAGAAGATCTTTTCAATATTTCCATTAAAGACAGTTGTATACCAGCGAAATAGAAGTAAAATGCTTATCGTAAGGGACAGTAGTACCAGTCATCTAAGAAGTATTTCAATAAGCAAAAGTTTTCTGCTTTTCTCAGGGAAGACGTCGAACACAGTTCAGATTTTTGTGGTGGCGTGGTCTTCTCGTACCATTAGTTGACGGGGCATACAGTATATTGGATACCGGTAGTCTTGGTGCGAGGCCACCTCGATTATGCCATACTTGAGTTGCAGTTTGCTAGACTGTTGTCTAGTTTTTTGACTAAACTCTTGAACTTAACAAGTGATGTTTCACAGCTACTGTCTAAGGTAAAAGTTGGATCCCCCCATAGCCATCCTCTTTCGAACCGGCTATTAAAATGGCAGAGGTCTTTATAAAACTGTTTTATTGCGTTGTGATCCTCTTTGAATTCAGGTTGTGCGTGCATTCCAATTGCTTAAAAGCTTGAAAATTGCTCGAGGTTTATTTCGGCAGCTGCACTTGTGCAGTTTCTTCCTAGAAGTTGCTGACTGCTGCTTTGGTGGTGATATCTCCTTTAGCCTCTCAGCATTAGGCAAATAAGAGAATTGAGCAGTACAAAGTCTGACTTATGGTGGATTACCGATCGAAAATTCACAAAATCGAAAAAGGCATCAATCTTGTTCAGTACTTCTAGAGTAGTGGTGCACTTTTTGAGCATGGTAGGTTTTTGGTATAGCAAGCGTTGAGGTTGTTCGTGTCTAAAGACACGGTCGTCTTGCTGCCATTAGTTGTTTGGGTAATGTTAGCAACTAATTGTTCTATTTTTTTGTTAGTGAAGCAAATCCCGACGATTATCACATTGAATTGACCAAGTGTTCTTTTCCTTTAGCCAAATTCAGTAATCAAAAGTTGTTTCCGCCTTGATGTTTGTAGGCGGAGGCGGTTTCCAAGGTCCAACGTAATGAAATATTCTTGAATGCTTAAGTCAAACATTACGACTGTTGCTTTGTGGAGGTGTGGCTGGTATTAGTTGACAACTTCTGTGAGTTTGGTGAGGAGAAAGCTGTCTGTAATTTTGGTCAGCCGTTTATAGTTTTGCAGTTGACTTTGGGAATGAGGAACGGCAACGCTTTCATTGTCATTTTGCGGGTTCTGTGGTTGAATGTTAGACTGAGTTCGTTTCGGTAACTTTTTCCGATTTTTGCAAATTGTGCGGTCTTTTGTATTAGTAGCAGAATGTCCCTCTCATAAAGCTGTTACTTTTATGATCAGTTTCCAGACACCGGAAACAAATTTTAAAGTCTTTGGCACGAGCAACACGATTCTTTGTATCGGTGTATTTCTAGCAATTGCCTGAGCAGTGTTTCTCTTTGGAGAATGCATACGTGAGAATATAGTCCGCTGGTGTTTGTTTGGCCGCTTTTGGTGTCAAAGTGTCAACTATTGTTTTGTTGGAGAAATGGTGGAGTTGAGCATTTTGATTCGCTGGGCTTGTTAAGTGGACGAATAAGGCGGGTAATATTCGAGCTGCTTGTTCTCTTACACGAGCCGTCGCTTTAATTTTGTTGCAAAAGTTTTTGAGGTTCCAGCTTGGCAACTGCAGTTTTTTTGCGCAAACCCGGAGCAACAGTACTTATGACAACTTGAGTTCAATTAGCGATTTTACAGCGATGTTTTCAATGACGTTCTTGCCTTGTTGTTCTAGCTGGTTAATGATTCGCTCAGTTTGATTAGAAGATGAATCAGTTGGGTGCATACCTTTGATGGGCGGCATTTGTTGGAGCTTCTGGAACAGATTTTTTTTAGTAGCGCCAGATTTCCATAGTGCAGTTTTCTGGCGTTATAGAAAACTCAGCAGCTTTTGAAAGAGCTTGCCCTCCCAAATAAGACAGTAAATAATTAAACTTGTCGATGGTGGACAGAGGGCGCTCATTGACTGAGTGTATAAAACAGGCCCAGAACAGCAGTCGTTTTCGGGTGTCAGTATCATCAAATTCTGGTATTTGTGGAGTGGAGAGTTTGAGACGTATAGTGGGCGTTGGATTTTTTATGGGTTGAGGTTGAGTGACTGTGCTGCGGTTGAGGGCCGTAGAGAGCACGGATTGGTAGCTAGATAGTTTGGCTAGCATATCATAAATTTATTCGATAAGCTTTAGGAACGGTGAAG